TTCGAGACAAAGCATGCTTTACCTCGCTTGGTGATGGATTGTATTCTTGTTCTTTCTGTAGATTTACCGTGTATGATGGTGGTTTCGTTGAAGGTAAAGCATGCTTTAGCTTGCTGAGATCAAAAGGATCTGCAAGCATTTTATGCGGTGGCTCGATTTCTTGGAGATGGATAATGTGTAGACCATTGCCTGAATTTAAACTGCCAACTACTTTGAGATATATACCTGGTGGTAAGAGTATTTCATCTTCGTTATCAAAATATGAATGTGCACGAATGAGCTTTCCACTATTAGTTTGAATAGAAAACATTGTTCTTGAACCTGATTTTCCTAAATAATTCGGAGATTCGAGCACTTCAATCGAAGTACTGCAAGAAGTAAACGCCCACCAAGCAAATTCTCTACCCTTTGGATAAAGTGCACTAAGATCTTCACGAACACCACGCCAAACTGATGTGTCTTTACTTGGTCTAAAGTATAGGAAGAAATCATGGCCTGTAATAAGACATGTATTTTTACATACGGCAGTTTGAAAAATGCTGTTAAAAACAATTTTAAATATTTAAACCAAGGTGTTAGTTTCGAACGATCAACCAAGCGAAGTGTTTGATTAAGCTTCTTATACAAACTATTATCATGTTTTGCCCATTCCATAGTATAAAGATGAATGGAAGCTGACTCATCTTGAGTGAGTTTATCTTTGGGATCCAAGGAATTGATTTTCGCAACGGTTATAAATTCCTTCAATTGTTGATCGAATAAGTCTTTTATTGGTTCACATGCATCTTCGAGAGATCTAACAGTCTCTTTTTCATAGCCAGATATTGGTACTAGCATCCTCTTAGGTTCATCACGAATGCTTTCCAGAAGACGATGATTAATAGGAATTAATGTAGCCATATGTGTATTAGGTCGTTTGATCTAAACTTCAACGAAATTTGAATATTGTGTTATACTATGCAACAAAGATGCTTTAAAAGGCGACACTCTAAAAGCATCAATGACAAAACAATGCTAACGGCGTAAAAAACGTCTGTAAATAGCGCGTCGTCCACAAGACTCTTCTATATGTTTATATATGTATTATATCAATCAAACAAACAGTGCAGATGAAAACTAAAAAATGCTACTGTCTTTCTCAATAAATAATTTAATGATAGAAGGAGAACAGATTTATTTAACATCTTGTATAATGGAAATTAAAAGTCAAATACATATTCTCAGCTTATTCGATGTATTGAAATAAAAATTAGCATAAGATCTAGTGTGTTTTTCAATAGACATTTTACACCTTACTATTTGATATAGTCACATAAACAAAAGATATTGTAAAAAAGAAAGTCGCTAAAATCTGTTATAATACAAGGTTTTATAAGGTAACAGTGATAGTCTCAACGCTTCTCAAATCTTCTTTTAAACTACTTAGGGATTGCAGCACGAAGAATTTCGTCTATATATTTTTTTTTAATCGAAAATCAATACCTTTTTTATTGAATACAGCTTACTGTAAATGTTGTTCAGAAATTGCTTACGCAAATGTAACTATCAATAGTATTTTTTACTTCAAAACTAATTTATTTCGATAGCTTACGACGGCTTCTTCCAAGTAACTGTATTTCTTTGACAAATAAAAAGAAAGAAACGCAGTTGTTTAATTGAAGATTGTTTCTACAGCGAGAAAGGTGTATACTCAAAATGTTGTTTTTTGTTTCATCATGGCCAGTATTTTTCGATTGAGTATATTCGGGGAAAGAAAGGAGAGTTTATTCTGTAAAAAACACAGTTAATGTGCTACCACAACGATATTTCTACTGACTATAAAATTGTTTACTTCTGGAAAGATTGAAAAGACAATAATATATAGGATCATGCTTATAATCCTTTTCGTTTTGTATCTTTAATTCCATGATTCTAATCACTGTTATTGTTATCAACTAAAAAGAACAAAATTGCAATCCCATTTGAATGAAATTAAAACATTATTTTAGTCAAACATATAGATAGAAATTCTTCTTAACAGCACAAAGTAACTTTAATAATAACTGCACAGTAACGATAAAATTGTTTGTAAAGCATTAGTGGAAAAAGAAACCATTAATAGACTCTGCATTGTAAACAAACATTAAACCACATGCAGCACTAGAGATACACACATAATGCATCGAATACTTTATTATTAGACAAATGGTCATTAATGTCCAAATGCATAATACAGATTGATATATTTAAATAAATTGGTGTTTATGAGTTCATAATTGTACCTGATATTCTATTATTCTTTTTGATATATAAAAAGACAAAAAGAATTACATTTTTTGTTAAATCAATAAATAAAAGTCTGAAGATGATTGATTAATGACACGAATTTTGTCAATATCATGTAATGAAATGAAGCGTCTCATATACAAGAATACCATTTGCAGTTAGTATCTATTTTAGACATAAGGATCATTGGTTTAGTTATTGAAGGAAAAAAAATATATCAAATGCTGATGCTTCTGACCATCAAAAACAAATACTTTTGCTCATGAAACATTTTTAGATAGAAATAATCATCCAAAAAATTATAACATTCAAAAAAAAATATTTGAAATACTAAATAGAGCAGTAGTGTAGAACTCGGTAGTTTGATTCAAGTATCAAAAACTTTATAATACAAGCACTAACGTTTCAAATGTAAATCTTGTATAAGGATTTTTAGTCTTAGATTGACAAACTGCGCCAGGTTTATCATCCTTACTTTCACACTATACTATCTGGTTTTAAACTTCGACTAGGATTATAAATTTAAAAATGCAATTCCACCTTTTTTGTTGTACATATGATGTTATAATAATTTTGAATGCGAGAAAATTTCTAGATTGATTTACAAGAGAAATAATGCATAGTAATCAATCTAATTAGTTAACGTATATTTATGCTATTGTTTTATTAACATTGAACGATATCAATATTTGTCTTTATTATTTTCGTTAAAATAAATATATTAAAAAATTTTATCATTAATTTTCTACTGAAACTATGACTATAAAAACATCATTTTTATCAATACAGTTTTAATTTTAAAACTAAAATAAACTATAAAATATATACAAGCGAATTTTTGCAACACTTCGTTGTTGTTTATTGTAACTAATAAATCTTTCATCAACATCGTCATCACTTGGCGTTGTACATTTATTTTTGATAAATAGCGACATCATTATCGTCAATTGATTTGTCATTTTTCACAGTCAATAAAAAAATTTCCTATTTCCATTGTCATAATTATATGTCCCCTTTTCTTCTTCTTTCATTTTCTTTTCCTACTCGAGTTTTTTTTTTCTTTCCCATTACATCCAAGAAATATCTTTTTTTTTTTCCTAATACCAATCGTTTATACGTGATGTAATCATTTATTATGGCAACATCAAATAAAAAATCATCCACATCGCATGATGCTAGTACCGATACTGATGATGATATACAATATGATTCTGATTCATCAAAAGATCAAGTAAATAATACCAATGACATATCATCATCGTCAACAAATTTATCTTCAAAACATCGAGGGTAACAAACGAAAAACAAAAAGGAATTAATAAATTTTATTTTTTTTGTTGTATAGAACAAAACGTTTAAGTAACAAAATGAAACCATGTCTTGTACATAGAACATCAACAAGTGATGAAGAATTACAAACTCAATTAATATCACGTATTAATGAACAACCAACACACGGAATTCTGAAAGTCTCAAGTGGTATAAAGAATAAAACTTTCATTTTTTTTCTCTTAAATAATAACCTGTCATTTCCAGAGTCAACAAGTCCTGAATTACAAATGCCAGAAGAACCTAAAAAAACTCGTACAAAATCGAAATCTATTTCACCTACACCACCACGTGATACATCATCTGTGATTGTTGGTGCTGCTGCTGCTACTGCTGCTGCTGCAAATCATCATCATCACCACCATCATCATCATCATCATCATTCTCGTAATCGACATAAAAATGTGCAATCATCAAATTTAACTGTTGATATTCGTCAATATGAAGAAAATCGATCAACATTAAATCGTGTTATAAAAAATAAAAAACTTCAAGAACAAACAATTGTTTCATCATCAGCCATAGGTACGACAGCTGCAAATTCTGATCGTGTAACACTTGTTGTTGATGAAACACGGTTTGTTATTGATCCACAATTATTTCGTGCACATACAAATACAATGCTGGGAAGAATGTTTAGTACATCATGGGAAACATCACTTGTAGCAAATGAAAGAGGAGAATATGAAATTGCAAATGGAATATCTGCAACAATATTTCGAGCTTTATTAGTAAGAAAATTCTCTTTCGAATTTTATTTTTTATCATATCATTTTTTTCTTGTAGGATTTTTATAGTATCGGCACGATACGTTGCCCACCTTCGGTTAGCATTCAAGATCTTCGTGAAGCTTGTGATTATTTTCTAATACCATTCGATCAATTAACAATACAATGTCAAGATTTATGTGGATTATTACATGAATTATCTAATGATGGTGCAAAGAAACAATTCGAAGTTTTTCTCGAAAAAAATATTTTTCCGGTTCTTGTTGAATCGGCTCAAGTAAACGAATTTTTTAAGATAAAAACAAAACATATAAATATTTTATTTTTATGATTAGCGTGGTGATCGTGAATGTCAAATAGTCATTTTATGTGATGATGATTTAATTGAATGGGATGATGATTATCCACCACAACTCGGTCAAGAAGAAGATAAAGCTCAAAGTATGTAATAGTTTAGCATTCCTATTAATTAATAGAGAATGTATTATTTACGGATGATCAAAATGACCTCGATTGAAGGCTATTGAGGCTTATCTTTTGATACCATATGTTACATTCTCGGACTGGATAACAGAAACTCGTACTTTTCTTATTTAGTTATACGTTCGACATCAATGTATCGATTTTTTAAATATATTGAAAATCGAGAAGTAGCCAAATTGGTGCTGAAAGATCGTGGTTTAAAGAAAATTCGAATGGGTATTGAAGGTTATCCAACTCATAAAGAAAAAGTTCGTTGTCGTCCACGTGCAAGACCTGAAGGTAATTAAAATCTTGGAAAAATTCGATGTTTTTTTCTAAATTTAATTATTTTATTTTTAGCAATTTATAGTTATATTCAACGACCATTTCTTCGTTTGTCATGGGAAAAAGAAGAAGCAAAATCACGTCATGTGGATTTTCAATGTGTTCGTAGTCGTTCGGTGAACAGTCTTTTTGATTCTAATGATGGTAAATTAAAATCGAACTTTAAAAAACAAATAATATAATAATATTTCTTTAGATAATACTAATACAAATAATACATTACTATTACCATTTCTGGAAGCAGCTCAAAATCAAGTGATCCCTCCTCCACCATCACCTCGAGAACTTTTTCCTGCTATACCACCATATTCTTCATCGGGAATGACTGGTGATACATTCTATACTGATTAAAATATACTAAAGAGAATGTTGAATTGTATATTTCTTACGTAAAACAAATCGATCTTTTGTGTACGTGTAAAAGCATGATAATGAAAAGAGAAAAAAACAAGTTTCTGTTGTCTGAATATATATATGTATGAATATATATATATTCCTTTTTTTTCTGTGTATTGTAAATCGTAGGAGAAGATTTTCTTTAGTTTTTAACATATTCATTTTTCTTTTTATTTCATGAACAAAACCTTCTTTTTTTGTCAAAGCAATTAAAAGAACACAGTTGTTTGTAAAAATATAATATATTTAAGATTTGACTTTCATTCATTTATAATCATATTGATGATCTTCTAATTCACTGCTTTTGTCAATTACGGAGATGAAAATAATACTGAGGATTATTAATTTAATCGACTGAATAGTATTCTATTTTTTTGTCTGTTGATGTGTCGCTACAATCAAAAAAAAGGTGTGTTGTATATACAGCTGATTGTCATTCGAATCCATCATTTATGTACTTATCTGACATGATTTACGAATATTATATCACATTGGGGTCATGAGAAAAGTCACATGTTGATTTATATTCATACAAGCTTATCATTGATAATTGATACACTATCACATGTTACTGAAATAGTTCCAAATAAATCTTTGCTTCAAAATATGAAATTTCGACATTTATACATATAATAACAATGTGATATATACTTACTCTTTAGATCATATTTATTTGATCTATAGATTAAGTCCGCCAGTTGTTATTTATATTTAATACAATCTTTATTTTTCTCTAGGCATATATTACATGTCATATCATTGGATGCGAAAATAACAACAATTGATGTATAAGAAAAGGGTTGTCAAATATGAAACTCTATTAAATACATTATTTCATATTTATGATGATTTAGTGATAACCGATGAAAAAGATCTTAATATGTAAAAAGGAAAATTGTCTGTTCAATCTCAAGACATCAGAAAATAGTGTATGTTCTTATTTCATCTTGTATTCAATGTCAATTAATTTATGATGCAAAACAATAAATAATAATTAATTTTCTCATACAATATTCTCTATTAGAGTTGCAAGTTCATCACATAACGAAAAACTAATATTTGCTTCTTGGTATAAAGCAAAAGAAAAACATTTCCTGATAGAAAATATTTAGAATTAATGAGTTCATAGGAACATATAATAGACGAAATAAACAAATGACTTATCAGTACATGCTCGTGAACTTGTGGACGAAGTCAAATATTTATCTTATTGCTTTCATTATTATACGTATATGGCAGTATAAACAACATCAGTAATCGATTATACCAAAGATTAGTGACCTTCTGTTTGACAACCAATTATCTAAACCAGGATTCCATTCTTTTTATTAATATCAAACTTATGATTCATCGAATGAACTACATAAAACTCATTGTCATATATTGTATACAAAAAGAAAACTAGTTCATTCGTGAATTTATTTCTATTATAAAAAGAAAATGATTGTCTATTTTTTGTTTTTTTTATAACCAATAATAAGAAAATATGATATGAACTTGATTGTTATATACAGTTGTATTATTTCTAAGTGAATTACCATACATTGTATTTTAAAAACATTAATTAATTTAATAACATCCTCCGACCTAAAAATTAGATTTTTGTTAAATTAGATTTTATCAATTTATTTCTATACTTGTTCTTGATAGACTTCAATTGTATCATTATCTTCCATGTCGAGTTGCTTGGGAGATTCATCATCATTAATACGTTTACCATCAAAAAGAAATCTTAAATTAATTCATCATCTTATTCATCATTGAATTACGAGAGTAATATTTACCGTAAAGTCGCTACACCAACTCCTAATGTAAAAAGATAGAAAGAATAATCGAATTTGAAATTATTCTTACCTTGTCGTTCAGCATATGATTTTTTTAATTTACCCATACTTGTTGACATTTTAACTTTGAAATGAACTTCACCTTTAGATAATTATAAAAAATTCAATAATACTACAGATAAAATTTTCCTACTATTATCTTGTCCAACAACTCGAAGTTTAATATATTCATCAGTTTTATTTTCAGCCGTCATTATATAATATTTCAAAAATCTAAAATTGAAAATTTTATTATGTATGAAGTATCCATATTTTATCTTTATTCTATCTTTTACCGTTTCTTTCAAATCGATCAAAATTTTTTTTCTTATAAAGAAAATTCAAAGTCAATTGTATAAAGTATTTATATGAAAATTTGCTATTAATAGATGTCGCTAAATTAAAACTTCAAAATGATTTTTTCACTTAATCCTATTTTTCTCTATTTAGAAAAATTATTTTTATTTACTCATTTAAAATCTTGATCTATCAATAGAGGTCTCACATAAAGGTTTAACAATGGAATCAATATGGAAGAAATATATAATAAGTGCTTTTCTTTCAATTCAGAACGATACAAAATGCAACGTTCAATTGAATCAGATTTTGAAGATGAAAATGAAATATGTTATACATCGAAACGTCGAGCACAACCAAGAGTTCAACATTATGATGAAGATTCACTTCCATCATCATCTTGGACAAATCCAAATGAAAATGATATAGAAGAAGATCAACGTAGTTCATCAATTGATTATTATCATCACAATGAAAACGATGATGAAGAAGATGAAATCTTTAATTTACCAATAAGTTCAAATGATTTATCTGTAGCACCACAACAAGCATTACATTTAGCAACAATTTATGAATTTCTACGTCATTTCTCACCTATATTACGTCTTTCACCATTTTTATTTGAACATTTTTGTACATCTATTATTCAATCAATTGATATAAATAATATACTTTTTTCTCAAATTCATATATGTTTACTTCGTTTATTAATTAAACAAGATGATGATGATGGAATAACATATGCATCTGAAACAGATATTAAAGGTATTATTGATTTATCTTTTGTTACTATGGATTATATAACCTGGCCGTATATATTACAATTATATATTACATCTCATCCACAATTAAAAATGTTAACAACAATTATCAAAGAATATCCATTTAATACAACTATTGAAGATAAAATTGAAGTTCTATTAGCTTTATGTAATGTTACATTAACAACAAAAACTATACGCAGAGAATTCGATGATACGAAACCTAAACAACACGATGATAATTGTAGACAATGTCAAAAGTAAGTTATCAAATAGTTATCTCAGAAGAATGATTTGTTATTTTGATTTGTAGACGAGGTGATTTACTCTGTTGTGATCGTTGTGAAGCAACTTATCATCTTGCTTGTCTTAATCCACCATTAACAAGTGTACCAACTGTTGAATGGTTTTGTCCTGTTTGTGAACAAAATCAAATACATGGTGTATCCGATTGTATTCCTCCGCGAGAAAATCGACCATTCTATTTACGTCATCGATGTATCGGTCATGATCGTGAACAAAGAAGATATTGGTTTGTTTGTCGTCGTTTATTTGTGTAAGTTATTATTTTTGTTCTATATTGAAATAATTTTTGTTTTGTTTTTAAAGAGAGGATGAAACCGGTGAAGATGTACGATATTATTCTACACTTGATCAATTCGATGCTTTATTATCTTGTCTTGATCCAGCAGGTTCTGAAAAATTATTAGTTTATCGTTTACAAAAACGTTATAATGATATAGCACGTTGTATGCAAATAACAGCGAATCTTCAAGATTGTAAGTTTTTTAATTGAGAATAACAAAAAAAGAATTATCATTCTCCTGAAATTTGTTTAGCATCTTTACCATTGGATCAATCACCAACAATGACACATATGATTCATTCAGCACTTGATTATGCACCACAATTAGATAACGAAGATGAAGAAGATGATGATGATCAAAAATCATTATCTATGTTTACAGATGGTTTAATGCCTTGTTATTTTGAAGAAAATCTAACACAAAAGTTTGATTATGAACATTTGCTTGATAGAATTAAATTGAAAATAATATCAAAAGAAGATGTTGTAACGATGCATGGTCAGATAGATGGAATAGTTGATAATGATGATAATAATGAAAAAGATTCAAAATCATTCGTTAAAAAAAGAGAATTTTTCGTTCATTCAACTAATAATTATGGTTATCCAACAGTAAGTCAAAGAGTAAAGACGAAAGATTGAGATATTCATACATCTAAAAGAATTCTACTATAAATTGAAACTTTGATTTCATCACATCATTACAGAGCTAATCGAATCTTGTTTTCTCGGGTGACCTAAATCGTTGATGTATATCAGTTTTATTTTCAATTATTCAATATTTAACATTCTTTCGTAGGGTTTCAACAAACAAAATCTCTATAACAATGATTTTTCAAAATCGAATGGTAATTATATATATTATTCTATTTATAATCTAATAAGGATCTATTCTCTAGATTCAATCCCTATGAAACGATTCTACTCATCCAGCAAATCGCTTTTAGAAGACCGATTACGACATGCACATAGTAAGATATATTTTCTTAAAATTTCTTCTTTCTTATTATTCTATTCATTTTAGATATATATACTGAAACGGAAGTTACTATTCATCGATTAAATGATAATGATATTGATGAAACAATCTGGCAACGTTATGAACAGTATCAAACAATGAATAGATTTCCTTCTCATACTCGAGGCAATAAATATTCGAATAACACTAACAATCGTCCATCTCCAGCAAATCATCCTTCGTATCCACGTAGTAATTATTATCGCGATTATTATACTGGTAATAATTATGAAGATGAAGATGGTATGTTACTTGATAATGAATATGATGATTTTGGTGATGATTTTTTTCAACAAGAAGAAAATATTGATGAATTTGACATGCCATTTAGAAAATATGGTAATAAAAATTAATTTTTGTTTTTAAATATTGATTTTATTATTTTTTTTCATAGAAAGTAGTCGAGTTTATCGGGGTACTAGTCGTGGTCGGCCTCGTGGTCGAGGTCGTCCACCATTATATGGCGGTCGAGCTGGACGTGGTTCTCATTTTGGTCATCCTCCACGTGGTGTTAATCATTTAACAACTGGTTCATTTCAATCTAGTCAACGTTTAATTCAACCTAAAATTGAATCTCCAAAACCAAATGATCCACAACAACAGCAACAACCTCCTAGAAATAAACGTAAACCAGCAAAAATTAAACCAATGTCAGCAACAGCACAAGAAGAAAAACCAAGAAGACCAGGCAAAGTTTTACGTAGTGGACGAATATCAAGAAAACCTCGACGAGATTCGGAAACTGATTTTGGATCGGATAATTCTGATGATAGTGGAGCAAAAGATAAAGAAACAGGATCTGATGATGATGAAGAATTTAATTTAACACAACTTGGTAAAATTATAGATTTCTTTTTATTTTCTTAACTAAAATTTTTGTATAGGTCTTGGATTTGGTAATGCATCAAACATTGCAATCAAAGGAGGACGTGATGGTTCATCATCATCCAATGATTCATTAGCTGGAGGAAATCGTTCATTAACTAATTTTGCTGCTTTTGCACAAAATCAATTATTGGCAGCAAATTTAGCTAATGGATTAATAGCAAAGAATGAAGAATCCAGTAATGATTCAGATTTTAGTGCAGATGGTTTTGGTTCCGATGAATCTGATGATATTTTAAGTCAAAAAGCAAAAACGAATAATGAAATTATCGATGATGAAGAACTTGATGATTTTACATATAGTCAAACAATGTTATCACTTATTAATAGTATGCAACCAACCCATGTTAAAATTGATTTCGATCTTGTAACACAGAATAAAAATAATGATATTAATAAAGGTAATTTTCGCTACGAAGAAACTATGAGCTTATCTAACTATAGCAGATTAACTAGAAGAAAGAACAATGACATCGTTATTTAGTTTACACAAAATAATCTTTTTTTCCTGTTTGTTAGATATTAATGTTGTTACGTTCATTTTGTATATTTAAATCCTTCAACTTATCATGTACAATTTTGCTCGATTAAATCTAAGATGTTAGAGCAGAGAAAAATTATTTAATCAGATGGCTTCGTCATACCGTATAGTATATTCATTCCAGTTTAATTGATCGAATAGTAAATGAAAATACTTAGACTAAGATATAATACTTTTGACTGTTCCTGTATATTTGTTTAACTATTTAATAACAGATATTCAAATAATTACTTTTTCTTTTTAGTCGATATTCTTCCAACTGAAGGTCATCTTCATTATGAAAATTATTATCAAACAAATCCTCTAGCTACAAAAAAACAAATGTTATTAAGTGAACGTGATCGACGTGCACATTTAGCTCGTAAATTTAGTATAAATAATTCTATACCATTTGCTTGGTATTCTCCATCATCATCTATAACATCAAATTATTTCATAAAAAATCTTTCGGATACATTACGTATAACACTTGTATATTTCGAAAATACAATTCCATTACCATTTATGCATTCACATTGGAAACGTTATCGTTATATATGGGCAAAACAATTACTTGATATTGATACAGATATTTCCTTATCGAAATTAATTTATCTTTTACTTCAATTGGAAGCTTGTATTAAACCTGTTTCTTATTTCGATTTATTTACTGATCAAGTTGGTTATATAAAATTTCGTCGTGAAACAGAAAAAGAACGTGATGAAGCAAAAAAAGAAGAAAAAGATGCATTTATTCGACGAAAAATTGATGCTGATTCAATTATACAAAATGTTCATTTTACTCGACCATTAAAACATAGTATACATAAACAACGTGGTGAAGAATATCGTTTAGCTGGTGGACAAGGATGGACATTTATACGATCTACTCGACGTTCTTTAATTTCAACAAAAATAAAAAATAATTTTGATATTAATTCATTATTAACACGTCGTGAAAATATGTCCAATGCTATATTAAATGAACGAAATAGAATTATAAATTTACTTGAAACAAAACTTAAAAATGATTTAGGAAATGAAACAAATATTGAAAATGAATTAAATAATTTATTATTAACATCAAAAGATGATAATGATGATTTTATTGATGATTTAGCATTTATTAATTATAAAATAATTGATTATAATGGAAGTTCATATCGTTATCCAGTGATGTTAGAAGATACACGTCGACCATTTCATTTAACAGCAACAACAAATGAAAAAAATAATTTAATAAATCCATTTCAATTACCATTACCATGGACATTTGCATTTGATAATCAGATAACACCAAATATATTTATTTTACCCTCTTATATTCTTCGTCGACTTGCACGAGCATCAATGACATTAACGGATGCACCTGGTTTTATTAATTCTCGTTTAAGTGGAATTGGAACAAGATTTGGTTGGCCTTATCCATGTGGTAGACCATCAGTTCGAACTGCATGGTGTTATAAAGTACAAACAAGTACTTCATTTTTTGCACTTGCACATCATATTAAATATTTATGGAATTGTATAAGGTTAGTAAATATAAACATATATATATGTAATTATGGATTTTTTCTTTCGTCTAGATGGGATCTTCTAACAGAAAAACTTTCCAGTATCGATGAATCTTCAATTACAACTCATATTGATAATGATGGTATACAAACATTAATACAAGTTTTAGCTAAACGTGATTCTGGTCCATACAATTCTTATTGTGAATATTTTGTTCGTAAAACTATTCATACACAAACGAATGATTCATCAAATTTTAATATTCCATCATCAAAATCTCGTAGTCGTGCTGTTCCACATCCATCATCTGTTTTAACACCAAATCGTATAATTCTTACTGAACAATGGTTACCTGAACGACAACTTCAACCAAATCAAATTAAATATTATTATCAATGTTTACAAGATAAAACTTTTAAACGTTTACATAAGAAAACGAATGATGAAAAAAAACAGATTAAAAAGAAAAATCCTATTATAAATCCTCCTCCTTCGACACAACAAACAGCTAAACCATTTATTGTTCGTATACCACATTTACAACCAAAATCAACATTAAATACTGAAAGTGGAAAAGTTGTTATTGTAAAAGCAACTGGAGAATCACCATCAACAAATCTTCCATTACAACAAAAATCATTTTCAGTTGTTAAATTAGCTGATGGACAAATTATTCTTGTTCCAACAACAACTGTTCAACAAAATGAAAATTCTATTTCAAAAATTATTAAAGCACCATCACCACCGAAATCTTCTCAACCACAAACAATCTCAATTAGTCCGCAAGAACGTCGATTACGTCCAATTGCACCAGCTCCTATAACATCAATTCAAACATCAAATGAATTACTAAATAGTCTTCTTGCTCAACAACAACTTATTCTTCAACAACAACAACAATCAGAAACAATTTCAACTTTAGAACCAACATTAATTGAAGATATTCCTTTAACAACTATTTCAGAAACAGTTATAATCGATACGAATGATTCAATAATAAAACCTACACCAATTGTAACACACAAAACTAAAAATATTCGTAAAACAGTACCAATACCATCTGTAAATGATGATAAAAAATTAAAAATTGATCCAGAACAAGGCATAAGGTTAAATTATATTTTTTTATTTCTAATCGTTGATCTTCTTTCTCTTTAGATTAAGAATATGTGAAGCTATACTTCGTTCAATGATAGCAAGAATTGAACGTGAACAAAATCAAGAATCTATGAAAAAACGTCTTAAAAATCAAAATACAATAGTACAACCGAAACCTGATCATCGTCATTTAGTTTTAACACGTTTATTAAATGATCGAGTTGATAGTCTTCGACAAGATTTTATTGGAAATCGTCTTAATAAAAAAACTGCATTGGTTAAAGAACAAGTGCAAACACAACGTCTTAAACAACAACAACTTATACTCAAACAACAACAACAACAAGCAGAATCAATTAAACAAGAAGAATCTAGTTCAGATGATGAAAAACCAAAGACAGAAAATCCACCATCAATTCCTCCGAAAAAAGTGAGAAAAAGTACTGGAAATGAAATAAAAACTAAACGACAAGGAACACCAAAATCATCCGAACAAAAACCAAAAAGGTAAATGAAATATTCTATTGAATGAGCTACGAAATCGTTAGATTTTTCAAGCGTTACTAAAAGAAATTCATCTTTCAAATCATAAACTATAACCTCAAGATGGACTAAATCTTATGCGTCGTTTTTATCTATTTAGTACATTATCAAAACGAACACGTCCACTTCCTCCAACAAAAACTGTCGATAACGAACAACCACCTCCGTCTAAAAAAGCTCGTCGTTCACTCGTTAATCCTCCACCATCGGAACAACGAGAATCATCTGATAATGATGAAAATCTTTTAAAGAATCGTAAAACTTCTTCTTCATCATCTACAACAACAACAACAACAGCAATTGCTAAAATGAAATCAACAGAAAAATCGAAAAAAATCATAACTATAAAAAATTCTTCGAATAAAAAAGAAAAAACCGAAATAAATCTTTCCGATATAAATTGTAGTTGTCAAAAAACTGATAGTCCAGAAAAATTTTTTATTCAATGTGAAATATGTTCACGATGGTTACATGGTACTTGTGTTGGTTTAACACCACGTCTTGCACAAAAAATGAAAGAATTTATATGTGAAGATTGTCGATTATTAACACAAAAAGCAAAAGAACGTTTATATTGTATATGTCAAACATCATATGATGAATCAAAGTAAAAAACAAAATAATAATTCTTATTTAAAAATATCTATTTGTTTTAATTAGATTTTATATTGGTTGTGATGTTTGTGCTGATTGGTTGCATGGTTCTTGCGTTAATATTACACCTGAACAAGCAGAAAAATTTGAAGTTTATGTATGTCCAAGATGTTCAACGGAGAAAAAACAAGAATTTCTTAATAAACCAATAAATAATGAAACTAAAAAAGAATTATTAAATCTAACAGATCAACTTTCGGTATATAATATATTGAAGACAAAAACAAAACAAATAATTTTTTTTAATAATCTTTTAGATACATAAAATGGCATGGCCATTTCAAAAACCAGTTGATATTAAAGATGCACCGAATTATTATACAATTATAAAAGACCCTATGGGTAAGATAAAAATAAAAATAAAAGATTTTCATTTGAAATATTGTTTCTTTTTTTTTGTTAAGATCTAACAACATTAAAAACAAAAGTAATGAATAGTAAATTTAAAACTATATGTGATTATATACGTGATGTTAATAAAATCTTTAACAATTGTCGATTATTTAATCCAATTAATTCAACATTTTCTCTATGTGCTAATGTTGTTGATAATTATTTTCGTCAATTATTAGAAAATTTGATGATTAAAAACGATAATTAACAATATTCCTCATTATTATCTCTTTTCTTCGTCTTTTCTTTTTGTTTCTATTCTTGTTTAATATAGTCTAGTTACATGCTTAAATATATATATATGTATGTGTGTTATTCTTCGCATTTTCCGCGAAATTTACATAGAATGTTCTTGTCTTGTTATATTTTGTATATTGGATTAAAACGCAAAAAAGATATTCTGTGTTTTGTGTGATTATTTTTCTTTTCTTTCTTGTTCTTCTCAGAAAAAGTTTGACTATTCTTCCTTATATAAAATACAAATATATATATATATACACACACATCAAAGCAGATGGTTAAATATATTTCTTTATTATTTATGCCTACACTTCTTGAAACCATGTTTGAAACAAAGAACATAGTAGTAAATTATTTGAAATTGCAAGAATGTTTATTTCTTCAGTATAATATTGTGTGTAGTTACTCAACAACAATTTTATCTCAAATTAAAATACTATTATATTCTAATAACATACGAAGATACGAAAGTGATGGTTTATTTATATATATATATATGGAAAATCGATAGTAAAAGAAAGAGTTTGATATCTAGTATTGAAAATTTATTGTCTTTCAGTTGTAAAAAATATTAACAAAAAAAAGAAATTGAATAAAAAAAAGACAAGGAAAAAATTACATTTACATAAAAGAAAAAAAAAGATGAACTAAATAAAGAAAAATCATTACTAGGTTTGAAATATAATGGAATTTTTCTTACCAGAAGAACACTTATAAAAACGTCTCCACCCAAAGTCGGAAAAAATAATATGTTACAATAAAAATGTAACAAATTAATTTTTTACATATATATGTACAATCTAAAATAAGAAAACATACAATATGATATGATCAATATATATATATATATACGCATATACTTACAGGATGTTGGTGTTGATGGTACTGGAGATAAGTATTGTGCTGGAGATGGAAGTAATGCTGGACTTGGAGATGGGGATGATGGTGCAGAGGTTTGACCCTAAAAAAGAAGAACAATTTGTTAATACGGAGGGGAGGATATATTAACTATATTTTATAAGGTCAAACGGTCATGGACTTACTTAGGGAATGCATTTTAAGGACAATACCATTTTTTTTATTTAATCGATAGAACTAAATATAGTTAAGAGTGACCGAATATTTATGGATCACCACTTGTACATTCATTCGTTTTCGTTCTACTACACGCGGACGATACATACTTGTCGATGCCTTGATATATTATTTATCTTCTTTTCCAAAGATACATGTCTATAGTAAAATAGACTGCATGAATGTATCACATTATCATCTCGTCCATATGTACAGACATGATTTTGTTGGATACAAATCAAATGTCATACTTTATCACTTACTATATAGTTATATAGTGATTCAGAGATGCTAGAGAGAAATGAACATTTTCTATATAGATTATTACTGTTGCTGTCTAAGATTTTTCCTGACGCATCGATTTGTGATGTACAAATGTAAGCTATTTTTTTCTTCTCTATACATTTAACTATCTCAACTTTCATTGTGCCACTATAGAGTAGCATTATATTAAAATATTCTTCGAACGATTCGATTAGACAAATTAAACAATTTGTTAAAAGTAACAACAAAATAATATGATATTATTGTTTAATATTAAAATTTTCATTACACAAATCAATATTTTATTTTTAAAAAAAAAAATCTTCAAAAAAATCACGACTTAAAATTCGAATTTGTATTTACGGGGTTTTTTATTTAAGTCTATAGTAAGAAGAGTGTAATAATTATAAAACATAATCAGAAATAATATAATTATGAAGATGTACATGAGGTAAAATGCTAGTTCTTTGAAATCTTAAAAAAAAACTAAATAATGTATCTATGAAATTTGGTTACATACAATTAAATATGATCTGATATTTTTGTCTTAATCGCACCATTTGTTGACCAAGATTATGGATATTATTTGTATTATTATGAATATTATCGATATTATTCTCAATATTATTTATGTTATTATTAATAAGATTGTGCCACATTTCTGCAGGAGATTGATCCTAAAACAAAAGAAAAAGTTTGGTACATTGTGTATCACTTAATATCTTTATATCAATCGAAGTGATTATATTGAAATCTTTTTTCATTAGTATTTTTTTGTACAAAAAAATTAAAATAATATTATTATTTTTATATCTCACATATCACTATTTATTATCCGAATTAATCGTACTTGATCATGTCTCTTTGACTATTTTTTCTCTACTTTTTCTCGTACGCAAGTAAATGAGAATTATTTTCAGTTCATTACAGAGGATTCATCTTTCAAATGTAAAAGTAATATTTCATGTGTCTTGAATTTTCATTAAAATACATCAAGAAATCTAATAGGAAACAGCATTTCATTGTATTTTTTTCCATCTTTGGCTGATCATGTAAATTCCAACTGTTGTTTGTACAAGGATCAAAGTTATCTCTGGCATTATGTTAATGGTATTTCCAGGAAATCTTCATTACTCAACTAGAAAGGTTTTAGTAAATATTTCATAATCATATTCTAAGATATAAATTTAATATTGTTTTTCAATTCAAAATTGCATCTTTATTGATAAAATCACATGGATCAACTTATGAAATGATCACTTAATAAAGTAGCACATCAGTTCAATGGAAAGCAAAGAGAAGAGTAAAAAAGCTCAATATATTCTTTTTGCAAAAGCTCTACTTTTTGATTCTTTATGCTTTTATTTTAAGTTTTTCTTATAAAAAAAATATTTAGATATTCTAATTTCATCTGAAAAGTAGATAAGGATCATTTCGTTATATTCTTTATTATGGAAAATAACAGAATATTGTGGCGGATTTAAATAGTTCTGTTCTTTTTATAGTATCAAATCAATCGTCTTATTAAAAACAATTCTTCGATACATCGTACGTTATTGTACTTGTTTCTTTTAATTTTCCATTCTTTCTGTCGTATATGTTCATCTTCTCTCCTTGCTCTCTCTCTAATTCAGTTTGTTGGTTTATCTGTTATGTTCTACTATTTTTTCTTAATCTACTTCTTTTGAATGACTACAAGAAGGAAAGTATATATTATTTTTTCTTTCCTTTTCACTTATTGTTTCCAGTTTACGCTATGTTCAGCTGTTGCACAAAATAAAAAGAATTTAATATTTAATATTTGAATTTATTTATTCTTTAACTTGTAAGATAACATAACAAAGAAAAGAGCAACAAATTACAATCAGAGAAAAATTTACTCGAACGACAAAAAATTTGATCAAAAAAAATTGACAAAAATGACTAATCTGGTAGTCGATTGAGCACATACGTCACCCACTCGAAAAATTTTATGATCATCATTATGACCCAAAATACCATTTGTTTCAAAATAAATAAACGTATGTCTAAAATAAGAAAATACTCATTATCACGTCACCAGTATATATATATACGCTTACTTGGTTGGGGAGTTGGAGATGGTGATGATTCTGATGGTGTGGGATCCAGGGCGAAAAATCGGGCACGGAAACGGCCGGTTCCGTGGTATTCCCATTGAACGAATCCGATGACCGGATTTATCTGGTTTCGGCCGGAACCGACAGGAACCTAGCGAAAATGGCCTTCGAATACGGCCACCGAATTCCTGCGTCGAATTTCTGACATTGTCCTTGCTAGTTTCGACCAGAAATGGTATGTTTCCTGTGAGTTTCAGCCGAAAATTTACAGAATACTGCTTCAGGAATCATCGCTCTGGGTATAACATAAAAATTTGTTGTACAATCTTATGAGAGGAGCTAAAATAAGGACACATTTAATATGATAATCATCTATATATATATATATATACGCTTACTTGGTTGGGGAATTGGAGATGGTGATCGGGAAGGTGGTGTTGATGATGAGGATAAGGATAGTGATTGAGGTGGTGCTGATCTTGATCTTGTCTAAAACAAAGAAAAATTCGTTAGCGGGGGTGGGGGACATACGAAATATATTTCATAAAATAAAAATATCATGGACTTACGTGGGGAATGATTTTTAAGGACAATACCATTTTTTTTATTTAATCGATAGAACTAAATATAGTTAAGGGTGAACGAATATTTATGTATTGCCTTTTCTACAGTAATTCGTTTTCGTTCCGTTCCACGTGAACGATACATATTTGTTGATGCCTTGGTATATTATTTATCTTCTTTTCCAAAGATACATGACCATAGTAGAATAGACTGCATGACTATATCACATCATCATGCCGTCCGTATGTACAGATCTGATTTTGTTGGATACAAATCAAATGTTATACTTTATCATGCAATAATTTGACGAACAAAATAAAATTGAAGAAGAGCAGAGATTATTCATCTGAATAGAATTGATAAATTTCTAGTGTTAAAATTTAAAAGAAGTTCGCTTGGTATAAATCTTATTTACATTCTCCAATCAATTTGAAATTCAATTAATAAGAAATTTACTAGCGAGATTTGATTGAGTTTAACTTCATTTTCACATCGAAGTCGATAGATAAATCGTTAAAAAAAGATAATGTAACCATCGTCATCTAATTCATTACTTTAAGTAAATCTATTTATTTCTACTCTAGAATAGTTTGAATTTTACTAAAAATATGCATGTATTTGATAAATGTGCTGGTCAATTTACACGTTTACCAATGTTTTTTATGACATTTCATGGTCAAGAAAGTATTGATAAAGTAATAAATATAAGTAAAAAAAATATTAATATACAAGTAACGCTCGTCGGATAACTCGCTTAGCTCTTTCTCGTAGAAACGTATTTTTTGACCTTTGCCCCCTGTTCACCCTCCCCCTTACCGTGGCCACCCAGCAGACCTTAGATTCGAACTCCCTGCATCGAAACACCTCTGAAAATGTCTTCTCCGGAAAATTGGTTTTGGATGTTTTTTTTACCCTGCGGACGTACAAGCAAGCAATCAGACAATTTATATTTACTGGACTCTTCTCTACGAGAAAGAGAACAAAATAGACAATGAGCAATGCTGTTGCTATTCATAATATACAACATGTTATTACTGGTAATCTTCAGTTTATGATAGAAATGGATTATTCAAATAGAGATCGATTTTTTAAACAAGATACTTTAATTCATGGTTTTAGAAAATTTGCAACAAATAAGAAATATCATCTTACAATTGTTATTCATCCAAGAAAATTATTAAAATAATCAAAATACAATAAAATAGCTATTTTTTTTCTTAATGATTCATTATGTATTTGACCTGGAATGAATGTCATATCTATATTTAGATATAAACAATATCGATCAAATCATTTCCGTTATCTATTGCCATCTATAGTTAAATGCATATGCACATCATTGGTTTCTTCCAGCGATACCTAGCAAATAAGTAAAATGTTTTGTAGTGATAGCTATTTTTGGTTGTTTGTCATCGGTATAATCATTCTATTAATTTCTATACAAGAAAGTTGTTCGATATTTTCATTCGCGACAAATTTTTTTGTCACATATATGTGATTGATTTTCTTTTTCAATTGACAATATAATGTCTTCCTCAACAATTGCTGACACTTCCAATCTTCATCAACGTAATGTTGAACGTGATATAAATACAAATGCTACTCGATTATCAAATAGTGAAAATAAGAAAGCCGCTGCTGCTGCTACTACTATAGGTGCACCAACGACTGATGATGATATGGAACCATTACCATCTCAACCAAGTGGTGCACATATGTTAAATGAACCAGGTTCACTTCAAAATTATATGCAATATTTAGAAGGCTCATTAGTTCGTTTTGATCCACGTTGGCGTAACTGGATAATACGTGGCATATTTTCATTTATTATGATTGCTTTATTTGGTAAATTAGTAGCTATGGGACCACTTGTTGTTTCCGTAGTTATTCTTCTTATTCAAGTAAAATGTTTTCAAGAAATAATCAATATCGGTTATGTTGTTTATAAATCCCATAATTTACCATGGTTTCGTACATTATCATGGTATTTTTTATTTACATCAGATTATTGGCTTTATGGAGAAAGTTTAATTCATCATTTCGGTTCTTTAATGAATAAAAATAATTTTCTTCAACCTCTCGTTACATACCATCGTATGATTGCATTTCTTTTATATATAAGTGGTTTTGTTGGATTTATATTCAGTTTAAAAAAAACTTATTATTTAAAACAATTTACACTGTTTGGATACACACACATTACTTTAATGATTCTTGTTACATCAAGTCATCAAATGATACAGAATATTTGTGAAGGTATATTTAGTTTTAAGATTTGTGAGATTATTTTTTCGTACTAATAATGAATCATTTGTAATAGTTGAAATTCTAACAGGATGACTCAAAATTTCGTGTCATATTCTACGTGGCGCCTAGATATGAGTCATTCAACATATTAAAGAATATTTTTGAAAGATATATAACTAAAAATAGTTAAATTTGTTAGAATGTTAGAGAGAAAAAGTCAATTGTAACTTAATGATTATAAGCTTATTATCAAAGTTGTTGTCCGATATGTATTGACTATGTTAATCATCAATACAAAAAACAATATGAACAAACTTTTTCTATTTGAATCAACTAGTTGACATATTTTACATATTTCTTAGACAATATTATTAGTAATCAAGTTAGAATTAACTGTTATTGTTACTTAAAATCGTAGGATCGAAATTTGCCGGACGTAAATCTAATAAGCTCTGTAAGACAACTATTATTTATGGAATTATAAGTTTCCAAGATACTGATATCGTATTTTTTTAAATATAATGACGGATTAAATTCCGAGATGTTTAATCTATCTCTTAAGCACAAGAGAAAAGTGAGTTACTACAAAAAAATCTTATATCAAGAACTAGTTATTGAAAAGTTACAAATATATAGTAAATGTTTATCGTCAAATAATTAAAATATCATATAGGTATGATATGGTTTCTTTTTCCTGTATCATTGATAATCTGTAATGATATAATGGCATATGTATTTGGCTTTTTCTATGGACGAACACCATTAACAAAATTATCTCCAAAAAAAACTTGGGAAGGTTTTATTGGTGGTGGTATATCAACATTAATTGTTGGTTTTGTATTAGCTGGTATATTTAGTCATTATCAATTTTTTGTATGTCCATTAGAATATGATGAAGAACTCGAGGGTATATCAACATCATGTATACCATTACCATTATTTCAAAAAACAACATATTTAATGCCAAGACCATTTTCATTTCTTAAACGTACACTTGAATTATATCCATTTCAATTACATTCATTAATACTTTCATTATTTGCTTCAAGTATTGGACCATTTGGTGGATTTTTTGCTAGTGGATTTAAACGAGCTTTTCGTATAAAAGATTTTGCGGCTACAATACCAGGACATGGAGGATTTGTTGTAAGATAAAATTAATATATTTCAATTTTGTTGTTTTTAGCTTAATTTTCTTTTCTATATAGGATCGATTTGATTGTCAAATAATTATGGCTTTATTTACCAATGTTTACATATCAACATTTGCACGTGTTGCATCACCAAATAAATTATTACAACAAGTCTTAGCATTAACACCTGAAAATCGTGATGAATTCATACGTTTACTTCGTAATTATATAAAAGAATAAGATAAAAGAAAACATATGCATTTTACTATGAACAGTCGATCGGGTCGATCATTTGCTTTTTTTTTTGGTTGTATATAAAAACACAAAAGATAATATCGATTTCATTTGTTTCTCACATAGATTTTTTCTTTCGATTACTAATCGTCAATAGCATGAACAAGAATATTTTTCTTTTTAAACATTAATACATGTAAAAAAAAGATTTTTCATAAGTAAATTTCGAAAACAAATTTATTCTATCTATTAACAATATGGCTAGACATAAGGTATATCATGATATATTTAAATATCAATCATTTGTTGCTATCCACCAGTTTTCAACTAATAAAAATCAAATAAATGGGGAATTTTTGTACTGATTCATCTAATTTGGAATATCTTCAAAAATTTTGTTTACTAGCATTTGACATGCGAGTAGCGAAAGAATAAATAACTATGTGTCAGTGATATTCTTATCGGATAGGAACTAACCGGTGAGTAATTTTTTTAAAATACCGAATATAAGAATAATATTCTTTCATGATTTATCATAGTATCGTAAAATAACATAGATCATGTTGAAAAAAGTCTCTGTTCTTACAATTCAAAGAAATAGTTGTGTTGTTATGATAGTAATATGCTATTTTGTATTATTCAAATATTTTCTAACTGTAAATAAGAATTATTTGATAGAGAAGTTGAAATATTCACATATGAAATAAGAGAACGAAATAAAATATGTTGATCAAGGACAGTAAGATGACATACATTTTCTTTCTCTTTATTTGATATTGTAATGAAATATTACAACCCTATTTTCTTCACCTCGATGTTGAATGAAATATTTTATTTGAGAATTTCTATAACTAACATGTATCGTTTGCATGATTGTGAATGATAATAACTATTATTATAATTGGTATAAACGGTATAATTATAAAATAGAACCTTTGACATAAATATAACTTTCGCGAGTCATTAAAATATTTCGATCAGCTGAGATGAAAGCAAAAACTATTGCCCCTTGTGATCTTTCGTTTATGATGATTTTAAATAACGAATAACTTACTTTCGTAGCACGTGGCCAATACTCATACATTAATTGTAGATCGATCAATTCAGAATATTTTACATGGTTGTAATCAAATACTCGTATCTATAATTTATAAAACCTTCAGGAGAAAGGACGGCTCTTGAAAATCTACATTAAATTATTTGGCAAACATTGATCAATATTCCTTGTCTAAAGAAAAGTCTGAAATTTTCATTTTCATTATTTTCAATAGATGAATATAGAAATATTTGAAGCAGCTATTTCCGATATTTATCGGCTACATGAATCATTTGAACTTTCAAACATTACCCTCTTCATTTGAATGACGATGTCATATAGTCAGCTGTCGCATCGTCTTTGATGACATTAACGTACGTAATAAAACTTTCATTCAATAGACAATACATTTAACTTTTAAAGAAGCATGGAATGATAAACTATAAACATTAATAATAATATATATCTATATATATGTACAAGACAAAAAAAGAAAGAAAAAAAACGAGAGAAATATTAATCATCAACAGTCCTGGTTGATGAACAACAACCAAGTAATTTTCCATAATTCGATTGTGATTGATTATTTGTTAAACTAATATTTCCTGTTTGATGCGATGATGATGATGATGATTGTTGTTCGCGTATTGCTGCTGCTTGTTTTTGATCAAGTAATTTCTCTGTTAGAAAAAAAAACATTTTCGATACAGCTGGACTTGTATCAGATTTTGCACTTGTTTCAAAAAAGTCAACACGAAATTTATCAGCTAATAATTTTCCTTCATGTGTTGAAACAACCAGACGATCTTGAATATCACTTTTGTTTCCAACTAATATTCGAATAACATCATCTGGTGCATTTTCATCGATATTTCTCATCCATCGTGCTATATTTTGAAATGAACTTGCTTCCGTACGATCATAGACAAGAATGATTGCATCCGCATTACGCTGTGAAGAAAATAATAAAAATTGAATTAATTATTTCGAAATATGAATAAAAAAATAAATGATCTTACATAATAAGATCGAGTAATATTAAAGAATTTTTCTTGTCCCGCTGTATCCCATAGTTGTAGTTTAACAGTTTTATCTTTGACACGTAAAGTTTTTATTTTGAAATCAATTCCAATTGTTGGTGTAAACGATTCAGCAAACATATTGTCTAATAGAAGAAGAAAACGATAATAAATTATTACAATGTTAATTAAACTGCACAATTGCTCTCTATTCATAATCTCAAAACAATAGCATCTGTTATATTTCCGCTTCAAAACTCTATATAAACTATCAGCTGCATAGCAGGACTACTTCACTATCTGCGTATAGAATTCAAAATAATAAACCTTGACCTTTAGAGAAAAAAAAACAGCTGAAATGAAACCTTAGTACATCGGAAGAAATCAAAACTAACAAAATCAATTTTTCGTTTTTAATATAAAAGATACGTACCAGCAAATCGAAACATTAAACATGTTTTTCCAACACCACTATCGCCAATCAGTAAAATTTTAAATGACCAGTCAGGTTGAGTACGTTTCACTGCCATGATACAGGATAAGAAAGAAAGAAGGAAATAAAACTATCTAAAAAAAAAGTATTGGAAGAATTTACATAATACATTCATCTATATATATATATAGTAAACGGCAATATCCAACCTAAAATAATACAATAAATTGACACGTCATATTGAATGTGAATCACTATGAATGGGAGTGCATAGCCGCCGTTTTTTTGATGATCATCTGACGAGAAGGAAGGCGTTGAAAGAACGAGAAATAAGAAATAGAGAAGGAAAAAAAAGAAAGACATAGTTCGTATCGCTAACTGGTTGGTAGTAAAAAAAAAGAACGAGAGAGTATAAAAGCAAGAAAGGTCCCTTTAATTGCGTGTCGAGCTTTTCTTTCTTTTTTGTATTTGCAAGCAAGTAAAATATAGTAACAGATGATAGCTACGCGCACATATAGCAAATTTGTTTTGCGTGTGATATATCTCTTACAGACAAGAAAATATTATAAATTATTCACACGGATATTTTGATATGTCATATGAATAGAGTAAATTTAGTTGTCACGCACTAACCTGTAGAAAAATGATAAAATCAGTTTTCTAGACTACAATTTACTTAATAAAAATGCATCAGAAATAAATAAATACTTCATATGTTAGACTCAAAATAATTTTATTTTTGAAAAAAGAAAAAAAATAAGAGTCACTTTTGTTGATGACGATTCCGGGGGTAATATCGGTTGATGGAGCATCAATTCATATTTTTATGTAAAACTTATTTTAAATAAAAATTTCTGCATCAATAAAATTCATTTCGACAGGAGAGAAAAAAAAAGTAAAAGATTTTACTCATGACATTTTTTTGTAATTAGTTGAAATCATAGATGAGTAAAACGTTTGTTTTTGTTAACTAAACACGTAGTACATTGAAAGAGTATCTAACCCAGCTCATGTTTTCTTTCTCTTTGATAACATCCGAGATTTTCGCAAAGTATGCAATCTATTTATATCAAACTACAAATAAGAAGAAAAAAAAAAATACTCAAGTGTCTATACATGTCTCTCTCTCTCATTCTTTTCATTTATATGTTGATAATTTAAATTTATAACTACTTAAGAAATCATTATTCATATTCTGAAAGATTTTTTTTTATCTTTTTCAATCAAACAAAAACGAGATTGATTACTAAAAAAACACAAAAGGTTTACTAAAGTTCATTTGGCACCACTTTCAAAATAATCTTTTGCTTCATTAATTTTTGCAGCAACGTACGGTGATCCACCTAATATACAAAAACGAAGGTTGTAGGTTCGAAAAAATGAACATTAAAGTTTACCTCGATCAGGATGATTAAGAATAATCAATCGTTTGTATGCATCACGTATACGTGTTTTATTTGCTGTTGGACTTGAAAAATAAAATATATGAAAATTAATAGAAATTATATTCGAAATTT